CCTGATGACAACAAACACCAACTAACACATCCTCACCATCAACTATTGTTACTATTCAAGTATGCAGCTCATATACTTGATAACCTGAATGAAGACTACCGCCCTCCTTCCTCTTATGCTCTGAAAACATTACTGTTGCACCATCAGCAGCGGTGCAAGTCTACTCAAGTAGGGGAATGTTTCATGGAGGCTGTGAAGTACATGTGTCATGACACTGATACAATTGATTATCATCAGAATAATTTTAGGATAACTGTAAAACTAGCAAAGACTTACATTGATGCAAGTAGAACAATACCAGACATAATCTATCCACAGAGGAAGATCAGACTATATGATTACGGCTCACTGGCCACACCTGTAATATTTCTCTGGATGATACAACATGTTCAACATAGCAGTGACCGTAGTTGGTGGGAAAGATTAGTAATTCCGACAAGTGACTGTAGCTGGTGGAAGAAACTGGTATTCACCACAAACACTTCTGAGACTGACATACTATACTCTATGGTAGATAGTATGCATGGAGTATGTGAACTGCTATTACATATCAGTACTACTTCAATGTTTAGATCAGCTGGCAGAAGAAGACCTACAATCATCAAGTTCCAGTGGAAGCACCAGGATAAAACTGAAACAATGTTAGAGTTTGTGACTTATGACAGTATACACAAGTAAGTAATAATACTAAAAACCTCTGATATGACACTTGAAACATCTTCTAATAATGCTTAACTACTATTATTCATTTTTCCTTTGATCGTCTTTATCAGCTTTAACATAATATAATTTGTGTTTACTTGTTATTATTATGTAAATGCAGAAAACTATTAAGAGTTCATCTCAAAATGGCCACCCAAAAGTTAATTACGATTCCTATTTTATTAAGTTTTGATTGACTACTTATTAGACAACTGCTCATTATCAGAGGCACATTCATATTAATATGTGACCCTTTTCACTGTTTTCTTATCTCACAAGATTGTTTTGAACAGTGCAGATATTTATAAAACCGATATGCAAATTCAAAATGGTTGAGTTGGTTAATATTTTTTCCAAGGAAATTAATGTATAGCTTAATTGTTTTTCCATGCCAATGCATAAAATACGACATTATGTGCAAATAATCCACATTATACACTATAAAAAATAAAAAAGATTTCCATAGGTAACCTAAATAAAGAATAAAGAACTACAGTAGAACCTGCTAAGTGGAACACCTCCGTAAGTGGAACACCTCGAAAGTGGAACACTTTTTCAAAGTCCCGTTTTAAAAACCCATTGACTTAGTGTTAATTTAACCTCTGTAAGTGGAACACCTCCAAACTTGAACAGTGAACACCCCATATTGAAAAATTAACCTGCCAAGTGGAACAGTCAATTTCCATAAATTTCAATATTGATACTTATGTAAACAGAATTAACCTCCTACGGTGATATCTGGGTATGAAAACAGGTAATAATGTGATAATTGGCAAATTAGGTTTTTTATTAATGGATTACCATTCAAATTGGATGAACCTACTGTAGAGGTCAACACATGATGCAACCACTAATAAATTTGATAATCAGCAAATTAGGATTTCATAAGATTATCATTCCTGTATCAACCTCCTGTAGAGATGGACATGTGATGCTACCACTAATTTATACCCCTTGCTGTTTGTTTCAAACTTGATAAGTAAGATTAAGAATGTCAGTTGAAAAACAATTGAATTATTAGCAGTAGGAACAAGTCTTTAAAACTTAATTGCCAAACCATTGTACCTGAGACTGGCAGAATGAGGAGGATTAAGAATGTCAGAACATTTTTGGCAGAATGAGGAGGATTAAGAATGTCAGATACCTTTTTAAGTATACCAAATAGATATTAATGGTATATACCCAGGGGAAAATCTGGGAACCAACAAGGGGGGGGGGCAAATTTCAAGTCTAATAAAAAATATTCCGCTCTTGCACGGAAAAAACTTTTTGGCCCCTAAAAGCAAAACGTGGGACCAAAGTTTGAAAATTTAAGGCCCATTTTCTCCCGAATTTGGTCTAAGATTATAAAATAAACCTAAGAAGGCCAAGTAATGCCAAAAAAGCCCACTTATTGGGGCCTTAGGGCCAATTTTTGTATACCTGCCCTGCAATGAAGGGAGAATCATATTTCCAGTGATACATATAAATTCTATATTTGATCTTGTATGTTCATTAAATCCCCGCGAACCCAAAACCTCCGTAAGTGGAACACCTCCTAAGTGGAACGCTTTTTGGCAGAACGGAGGGTGTTCCACTTACACAGGTTCTACTGTACTCTAAGATAATAAAACAAGGCACATGACGTGAACGAGATCACACCATCAAAAAACTTTCAAAATGGCCGCCAGAAAAAATGGTTGCCCAGATGTTAATCAGCTCTAGAACTTGATATCCTCTATCATGTGCGCAAATTTGGAGACAATCCGACAAGTAGTTTTTCTGAAATGGCAATGACAATATTTATCGGAAAACCTTCAAAATGGCCACCAGAAAACAAGATGGCCACCCAAAAGCTAATCAGCTCTAGAACTTGATATCCTTTATCATGTGTATGAATTTAGAGACGATCCGACAAATGGTTTTCCAGAAATAGCGATGACAAGAATTTCCTAAAAACCTTCAAAATGGCCAGTAGAAAACAAAATGGCCACCCAAAAGTTAATCAGCTCTAGAACTTGAAATCCTCTATCATGTGAGGGCGGGACGATCACGATAACGATCACGACGACTATGATGACTATATCCCACCGATGATGTGATAAAAATATGTATGCAATCTGCAATATTTTTCAGATTAATTGGAATAGATGACTTTTTGACATCAGAGTGGCCACATCGTTACAGTGCTGACTTCTATAGTCTATTATATTCACATTTACATCAATACCCGCCAAATGGAACACCTTTCTGTATGGCACCACTGTCTACATGAAATGGTTTTCAAAATAACCAAAGCTTGGATTAATACGAATGAGATTAGGATAAGCCAATTGTTAATAGCACAAACATCCTACCCACTGTTAATTACCTCAATATTATAATCTGTTATTAATTACAATGACAACAATGCTTTCTTTCAAGAAAGCTCGACTGCAACTGACCAGTTGAAATAATCTAGGGATAACACAATTTTTTGGAGATAATATTTGTGTCATGTTGAGCCAAATCTCTTTTAATTTTTTAATGATCTAAACTTGCAGATTTTAGGCACTCTATGGCTGCATTTTTGGACCGCCAATGTATCAAAGAAAAGAACAATAAGCCCCTATGGTGCAAATTACATGCTCGCACGTTTTCAACAAAAACAGCTCATCCAAGCGCATTTACACCTCTAATTACACTGCGTTAACCTTTTCAACTTACCACATGTGTCAACTGTGTCGGCTAGTTGCTGGTGTACCACAGGAGTTCCATTGCAATAAACTGAAGAATTATGTGAGTTTAGGTGCGCTTTGATGAGCTTTTTTTGTTGAAAACGTGTGACCGACCAAGTAATTTGCTCCACTTGGCTTATTGTTCTTTTTCGTGATAAATATATTGCAACTTACTTGCGCGGAGGGCAGTTCAAAAATGCAGCCTAAAATAAAAATGTAAAATAAAGCTTAATTCACTCTCTTGTTATTGTTTTGGTTTTTGCAGAATAAAATGCTCATATTTGGGTTGGCCCAGAGTATACCCTCTCTATATGGAACACGATTATTGGATTATAAGGAACATTATTGTATTATCATCAAAACATTTGTGGATTATCATCAAACATTATTGGAGGACTATTATCGATTATTGGAACATTATCAAGGATCATTAAGGATAATAAGAACCTTTTGAGTCAATATGAAGGGCATGTATTAAAAAATTCAAGCTCAATATTGCCTTTTTAGATACTCTGCAGTATTGCCTGGGGGTTGGAGCATCTGACCGATCAATTTTCAAACTATTGAAACCAAAAGGGACGGTACATATTTCAAAATTACAAGTCTGTTTATCTGACAAGGATTTTTTCTAAGGCCAGGGTGAGTGTTCTGTATTTCTCGATTGAGTAACATATTATTTTCCAAACAGGAATCACTCCTTCCTACCCTTTGCATTCGTTTGACTTCACTTCTTAAAAGAGAGCTTCGTCTTCACTCTTTCAAACTAAAATAAACCTGTGAACTCACCGCGCCAATCAGTGTTCGTCGGCCAAATTTGACCGACGTTCTTTATATGGTCATTCCTTCTGACGTCATCGTTGAGCCCGGAATTGACCAATGACATGCGTATATTTAATTAGAATGCATTTGGCGTATGTTTCTTCAAGCTCGCTGATTGGTGGAAGGTCAGCGCGTAGGTCAAAAGTGATTTACCCAAACTGTCACCGGTACCCGTCGTGGGGGCGGGGCTACTAAACTGTAATATGGTCTCTACTAGGCAGAGTGTAGTTTAACTAGACTCTGTCCTTCCCCACATTGTCTACATCTTCCGGTTTTGCACAAAAAGTGCACTTATGTGCATAGACAAGACTTGTGAGAAGATTTGTTTTGTAAAATGTATGAAAAACGAGAAAATTCTGTGAAAAAAATCTCTGAAAATTTTCTGAATTCTTTCACTGAATTTTTTTGTTTTTTATACATTTTATCAAAACATTCTTCTTTAAATTGTTTTCTAAGTATATTAGTGCACTCATTGTGCAAAAGTGAGAGATGTAGACATTGTGGGGAAGGAGTGATTAATGTAACCCTATTGAGGGTTGCAGCAAAATTACAAACATGCACCCTGACCTTAAGCAATACTGATAAATTGCTAGTGACTATTTTGGTTGCATACTGTTAAATAAACCAGTGTATTCCTCCAGTCATATGCAATACCTTGATGGATCATGATGTTTTGGTTGCTTATGGACACCAAACAGGGTGTCATGCCAAAATGCATCATATTCTCTATCATACATATACATCAAATAAAAGTTAATGCATATAAATCATTTTTAAACTTACGAGGCAAGAGATTCCAGATATGACTGCCCATTTAAAGAAGTAAAACCATTTCTTCTCTCTAAACAGCAGGTCAAGAGCAATGGGTACCCTGTAAATATGAATATATCAAATTCAATATGTACAAGATCTAGTAGTAGAAAGTGGAAACTTTCAAATCATACCCCACATTCTTAGGTTCACTTGAGATCTCCCACATGGGAGAAAAAAAAAGCATATTTTCTGTAGGAATTTTGACTATATATGACTCAAAGGGTGGGGAAATTGACTTACTAAGTTGCTCCCCGAAAATGGAATTTTGAAAGCCCAACTTTAATTTTCTCAAAATTCCCATCCATGGGAAGTTTCATGCAAACCTTTGAATGGTGCAGTTAACAAGCGCAAATTGTCAAGATGCCAAATATGGTTGAATAACATCATGCCGATTTATCAAACAAACATACTGAAACTGTCCTAGCGAGTGTTTACATCACACATTGAGCTACTACTCTGTGTTCATACGAGGAACTACACCCAAAAATTGTAAATCAATTTAACTAGTAGTTTGTCTGGAAACTCAAAAAACAAAAGAAAGATGTCACCACCTGTCAAGCTCACAACAAATAAATGATAAAACATTTGGTGGTCAGCTTGGATACATACTTTTACAAATTCAATAAAACAAAGCTGAGTTTACTCACCCAAGGGCTCCAGCAAAGGGCCATCCTAGTAAAGCACTGGCAGCCACAGCTGAGATTGCAACCTGGAAAAATTGATACAAACAGATGTTGAAATACAGAGTGGCACCAGAGGCTACAAAAGAAGAGAAACATCAAGATTCGAGTAAGATGTAATTAAAGTTTGAAAGACACCCTTATATTACAATACAATATTACACACTTGAGCAGAATATTAAGAAGGATTTAAATTATTACATGTTAATATGCATACATACTACAAATTTCGCAATGTAATCATGTTTTGGTCCATGAAACAATTTGACTGAAACAAGATTTATCACACATTTGATACAGTTAAGTATCAGTGGAACACCTAAAAGTGTTCCACTAACAGAGGTGTTCTACTTCTAGAGGTGTTCCACTTAACAGGATTCACTGTAGTAAATATTTAAGAGATAAACCACAGACATTTTATTCCATGTCTTACCTGATTATGTCTGTGAAACCAGCCTCCAAATGCCAGTAGTGTCATGTACATTGTAAAAGTGCTTGGTAGATATGCTGTACAAGATATGTACATTCCAGCACTCAGGACCATAAACCCTATAGTGATGCGACCAACATTGGCACCAAATGCTTTACAAACACCCCTAAAATAGAACATAAAATAGTAGATACACTGTACAAGATACGTACATTCCCGCACTCAGGACCATAAACCCTATAGTGATGCGACCAACATTGGCACCAAACGCTTTACAAACACCCCTGAAATAGAACATAAAATAAAGCATTAACATACAGAATGTCACCACCTGCCATTTGTTACAGATGCTGAAACACTGACTGCCAAATACTGAACACAGTCCACAAAAAATTTGGAGACTATAAGAAGCCAGCTAGGGTCAGGTTAAGATTATAATGTATTGAGATTTTTTGTCAAAATTAGAATTCAGCACCTTTTTAGAAAAAGCTCTTGCGAGATCACTGAATACGGAATAGAACATTCATAAAGAATATCATATTATAGATTTTAAAACCTGAAGCAATTTATATGCCACTGCCATTTGTAACAGACACCACCAAATGCTGAACACCAACTGCCAAACACCATACACAAAAAGTTTGGAAACTTTACCAATATGTCACAACTTTTTGGTGGTGACAAAGTTGGTGACATAAACCTATATAGATAAAATATGATATTTCCTTGATATTCCGATTCAAAATTTAGTTAACTTTAGCTTTATTATTTACTTGAATTTTTACTTTTAATAGTTGAATGATTAAAACATTTCTAATTTACCTGTAGAAATATACTTCTGCAAGTGTACACAACAAGGCAAACATACATCTCATCATATAGAATAGAACTATCTGAAATAAATGAAAATACTAGAAGTGTGACAAGGATTTGACTTTTACACAAAAAGTTGAAGAAAAAATTGGGGAAATGTCATTGATTTTAAACATACAAGTATTAACTACATGCCTGATTAGTTTATTCCTTGCTGATTTCACTCATTTCCACTCTATTTTGCATTTTAAAGCACGACCACCTACCTTGGTTGAAGGAACTAGAGTTCTGTATATATGTAGAGGAAGGGCTTGAAGCCAGAGGTAGGCATATGACCTTATTGCATATTCTGGTGAGTATTCCCATGTTTGAAACCCGCTCTTAAATAGCAGATAATGGGTCTGGAAAAGAATTTACAACAATTACCATGGCAATCCAACGAGGAGGAAATACCAGATTAACTAAACATTGATATCAGGGAGGATGTAATATTCAAGGATTTAATACTCTATTTATATAAAATGGATATGTCTTTTAAGTCTGGAATTTGATTGGATGAGTTTGAGAGATTAGATAAATAAATGACCAATTACTGACTCCAAATAATGGTGAGTCTCAATACAGTTTATCTGCATGTATAGGTAAATTAAACAATCATAGTTAAAATGTTCCCACCTCTACTTTGTTGCCCCTTTTATATTTCAATAATAAATGTTCACTAACTGACTCTCGATAATTGTAATGATCTGTTAAAAGGTTTCCTTTTAATCTAATGCTCGAGAGAGGACACACTGTGGATACTGCAATGTACCATCCCTACTTTGAAATAATAAATTGTCTCTTACTGGCTCCCAATAGTTGTAAGTCTCATCACAATCTGTAATGGTTGACCACATGGCGGCTGAGAGTCTGATTGAAAGTAGTGCCTTGAATGTAGTCCCTGTGGTGGGCGTCCAGGAAGATGCATCGTCATCTTGCGATTGCTGCTTTACTTTACTAAAATAAAAAAATTAAATGGTAAATATCTGTCACAACAGGGAAAGAGGTGGAAGGGGAAGGGAGAGGGGGGGTGGGAGGCTGAAAAAAATCATTAATAAAATACAATTTTAATTTATTGATACTCATTCTCAGGTTCCCAAAAATATCCTTCACTTTTTGAAAATGTGGGCCTGGGAAGGTCTCACCCCTCCCCTTAATTTACTTTTATAAATAAACATATTTTTGTCACTGATAATAACAATTAGTGTTCATTTTTTTATATGCTACATGGGTATTCATACACAGGAGAACTACTTTTACATCTAGTACTAGCACTTCAATATGCATGTTTACTTGATGTTTCACATATTAAACAATATTTTAATTTTTTGATTTAATTATGATATCAAGGGCCATGCATTTTGGTCAGGAATCTCTTATTTGAATCATGAAAACTCCTCCTAAAATTATTGAAGAAAATTGTGCGAATTCACTTCCAAAACAGTCTATTGATGTCTTAATGAACACAAAGATCTAGGTTACATCATTTTATTGCTATATTCTTTCAATAAGCAGCTTTATTTCTCTTTTTAAAATTAGCATTATACTTACATCATGTTTTATCCCAACTAGTGCTTTTCTTACCTTTTTAGTGATTCTTCTTTTGCCTGGTCACTGGAAATACAAAACAAGAGACATGGTGACAAACAATTACACTTTTAAAGGCCCCATGTAAAGTTTGAAAATATGTTTTTATCATTCATATACATATTTCATATGGGGCCTTTAATGAAAAGTTGAAAGTGGTCACCTTCGCGCTGCACATCCAAAACCTTATCAGATCTTGGCACCATAATATATTGCAATGTTTTTCTTCTCAATGAAATCTAAAAAATAAGCTTTTGATAATGAATGTGACTGTCATTTACCTACCAACAGTATTTAGCATACAGTTATACATTTAACTGTATCAGCTTTGTTGTGTCAACCATAAGCATGAAATTCAAGAGAAATTAAATTGAAAGTAAAAAATTTCTTGGTAACTTCCAGAAGTTTCGATAGGAAAAATCACCAAACAAATACGATATTTGATTCCTGGTTTGTTGATTTTACATTTCGTAGGTTTTTGATTCGTCCATATTTTGGTTGCAATATTAGTGCATCGTCATAAGGTTTTACTGTATGAATAGACTAACAACTCATCCATGCCTTCTCCTTCAAATAACAACATTTTGTTGCAGTGTTAGATAATCTGTATGCTTCATGCTCGATGAAACAAAGCTCATATGGTTACATGTATGAGTGTTTACTAAATCCTGGAAGGTAAGTGACAGTACATTCATTACCAAAATCTTATTTTTAGATTTGAGATATATTGGTCTTGTTAAAGCATCTTTAAAAATTTCAAAAATTTAGTTTTCCTAGAATTTAGATGACAAGATTTATGTGAAGTGCACCCAACCACAAAGACAGACGTGTGTGTCACAATTGGTACTCAGTCGCAGATCCATATGGTGGAGTAATACAACATGGATCATATAAACAAGTGATTGTCAGTCAAGTTAATCTGGACAATGTGAGAGGTTTTTAACAAAGAGAAGTTTGCTGTATTTTCTTGTTGAAATAATATTAAGGACAGGGTGCATGTTGGGAAATTTTCTGCATTCCTCAATTGAGTCACATGTTATTTTTCAAACAAGAATAACTCCTTCTCTTCATTGTCTACATCTTCCAGGTTTGCACAAAGAGTGCACTTATGTGCCTAGAAAAGCCTTGTGAGAAGATTTGTTTTGTAAATTGTATAAAAAACGAAAAAATTCAGTGAATTTTCTTGCTTTTTATACACTTTATCAAAACATCCTTCTCACAAGTCTTTTCTAGGCACATAAGAGCACTCTTTGTGCAAAACTGGAAGATATAGACAATGTGGGGAAGGAGTGATTCTTGTTTGAAAAATAACATGTGACTCAATTGAGGAGTGCAGAAAGTTTCCCATCATGCACCCTGACCTTAGACTGTATCCTTCGTCTGAATAAATTCAGACTGTAAGTCACCTATTGTAAAATGTGGTGTTGTATAAATGTTACAAATAAGTTTGTTTAATGATAAAATGATTACCTTATAAAGAACTTACAATATTATTTTTTCGTATATTGTCCTCTTACTGAAGATATTCATAAAATGTACAGACGCTTCTTGTAGCGAAGCCATTGATTAGGTCAAGCCATTTTGGCAATGTCAATTCTCACGATAAACGAGATTTAGCCAGTGACGTCAGTCTATTTGTAAACAAATAACACGTGGAGCGGACGGAGCAACATTACGGAAGCGTATTGATAAATTCCATTTGTGCGGGAATTTATTAGATCTAGTCATTTATTATCATTATCCCGATTAAGGACAGGGTGCATGTTGGGAAATTTTCTGCATTCCTCAATTGAGTCACATGTTATTTTTCAAACATGAATAACTCCTTCCCCACATTGTCTACATCTTCCAAGTTTGCACAAAGAGTGCACCTTTGTGCCTAGAAAAGCCTTGTGAGAAGGTTTGTTTTGTAAAATGTATAAAAAATGAGAAAATTCAGTGAAAAAAATTTCTGAAAATTTTCTGATTTTTTTCACTGAATTTTCTTGTTTTTTATACACTTCATCAAAACATTCTTCTCACAAGTCTTTTCTAGGCACATAAGTGCACTCTTTGTGCAAAACTGGAAGATAAAGACAATGAAGAGAAGGAGTGATTCTTGTTTGAGAAATAACATGTGACTCAATTGAGGAATGCAGAAAATTTCCCATCATGCACCCTGACCTTAATTTTCGTAATTTATAGTAAATAGAGCGGAAATATTCATGAAGAAGGCCGAGGTAATCAAGTGGTCATGTGTTGTCAAAGTTCAATAATTTGCATATCTCGTTTGGATCTCGTGAACTCAAACGTCCTTGACATTGATTTAGCCATCTACTTATGAACACATCCTGAAGTTTTGGTGAGTCTGAACATTTCATTATTTTATATCAACTTGTACCCACCCGCCTTATACAAATATTTTTGCTTCTAGTTTAAGGTTCAGCTGGAAAGTAACATTTTGGTAAAAAATTGCTATACCTGCACATGTTATTTTCTGGTACAAAATTAAGTATGAAGGCATGTGTGTATTTCCTTGCTTTTTTCAGGAAAGTATCATTACACTGTCTACTTTTAGTAAACCTGGAAACAGGTCAATGGTAGCTCCGGTGTTGTCTGGAAACTTAGAAAGAAAATTTGGAAAAAAAGAAATTGTGAAATATCAGAATTTCCTGGAGTTCCCATTAAACTCCTACTAGATATTCTTAAAGAAGACAAAAGTCCGAACGAAATGCGTACTTTTTTTTCCGACGTTCGTATTTTTGCTGTGTAGACGATCTTTTTTTGAAATTTTTCAAGAGAAATATTTTTGCTTGACAATTACCAGGTAAAATGCGTATTTGCGTGACATTTTCTGTCACGCAAAAATAACTGGCGTGACTTCAAATTCTTCAGCAAATGTGTGACAAATACGCAAATTGCGGGACAGTTGACAGGCCTGCATACTAACCCTGACCTTAAAGTCTAGAAATTTATTTCTAAAAAGATGCATTTTTCAGTAATTTTGTTTTTTCAAGTAATCAAGAATGGAATATCCACAAAATACTACTTCTGAGTTTGAATCCATATCATATGATTAATATGCAGCCTTACAGATATTAAACTATACCTACCTAACAAGCCTTTTCAGTGTTTCTTTCGAAACTTGATGTTTTGGCCTACTTCTTCTGGACGCTGACATCTTGAAGTGAAGACTAACAATGAATTTGATTGGCCAATGAAGATTTGCTAAATATATTTTTAATAGATTTCTACAACATTTTCAAGAATTAATGACTTTGTTGAAATAATTATTTTGTTTTCTTATAAAACAAGTGTTTAGTTTATTTAATTTGTGTGTTTTGAATAATATTCCCGGCGTACCACGATTCAGTACTGAAGGTCAAAATAAGAAAAGTTGAAAAGTAAAGTGAAAATGGCTTCCAAAGTCTTGAGCTTTTCTAAGGGCCTGAATGGCTTGGCAACATCTAAAAATGTCTCTAATCTGTTGATAAAGAGATGGTGTACCGCAGCACACACCCTGGCGGTGAGAAACAACATTGAAAAGAAAAGAAAGCAAGCTTTATTGGGAGGGGGTCAAAAACGGATAGACAAACAACACAAAAAGGTCAGTACATAAAACTACAAGGTCAAAGGTAAATCTATACACATGTTTATATTGCTATGTGGATTTTCATATTGTCTTGTTATTGGCCTTATGAAGTCCTCTGCCCAAACGCCCCAAACTTCAAAAGAAACAGAGATCAGAGGTTCTTCTTTAGTTTAGCATAGATCGAGACGAAAGATCTAGATTTTGAATTATTGTGATGGTGTATTGACCCTCGATAAAAAGTTGCTAATACAGTCCAGCTGTAAATGGTATCAGACTTTGAAGCAGATGGTTTTGAGTTTGATTCCTGCATGGGACATTGAATTTAGCAAACTCTCTCTAACGTCTGTATCTGGCTTAAGGACAGGGTGCATGTTGGGAAATTTTCTGCATTCCTCAATTGAGTCACATGTTATTTTTCAAACATGAATAACTCCTTCCCCACATTGTCTACATCTTCCAAGTTTGCACAAAGAGTGCACTTCTGTGCCTAGAAAAGCCTTGTGAGAAGGTTTGTTTTGTAAAATGTATAAAAAATGAGAAAATTTAGTGAAAAAAAATTCTGAAAATTTTCTGATTTTTTTCACTGAATTTTCTTGTTTTTTATACACTTTATCAAAACATTCTTCTCACAAGTCCTTTCTAGGCACATAAGTGCACTCTTTGTGCAAAACTGGAAGATATAGACAATGAAGGGAAGGAGTGATTCTTGTTTGAAAAATAACATGTGACTCAATTGAGGAATGCAGAAAATTTCCCATCATGCACCCTGACCTTAACAGTACTAGTGTTGTCGCGATTAATCGATACATCGCGATATACATCGCCAAAGCTGGTTCTGGCGATGCATCGATGTCTGAAACAAAACATCGATGTTTTTAAAAAATTTTAATTTGCTAAAAATCGCCCTTTCTTAGCTTAGCCTATCTTATTTTGACGCAAATTGCTTACCTTTTTTCATGTCTTATTTCATTTTCAAATGTTTTCTGATATTCTTTCGCTTTAAAACTGTTTTAGCTCGTCGAAATGCACCATTAATCTAAAAAAATTACTTTACTTTCATTTCACCGTTACTATGTTCCCAGATGTACCAGCGTACTCTTATTAATTTGTTCTGTTCGATATTTTAGTGCATTAGCGTTCGGTATTTCAGTGCACTTTTCTCGAACTTTTTCTCGATGTACATCGCGATGTGCATCGATGTTTCCTATTGAAAATTGCCGATGCATCGATGTACGATTATGGCACATCGCGACAACACTAAACAGTACAGCTCCCCAGAGAAGCATCGGGTCGTTCACGTTGTTACATTTGTGTTAGAATTGAGATAATTGGCCCTAGTCATCCTGTATATCCTGGGTGATGATGGTGTCATCCTCTGGGGAATGGTGTAATGACCTTTGATATTCAAGTTGCAAGCCCTTATGATGTATGTCTACACTGAACCCGAATGAGCATCTTCTGAATCTGAATATCTGTCTACATTGTAGACTGTGTCTAAATGTTTTTCTGCACTGTATTTGAATGTCTGTCTATACTGAATCTGAACGTATGTCTACACTGAATCTGAATGTACAGTATATCTACACTGAATCTAAATGTATATCTACACTGAATCTGAAAGTATATCTACACTGAATCTTAATGTACTGTATGTCTACACTGAATCTGAATGTATGTCTACACTGAATCTGAATGTATATCTGCACTGAATCTAAATGTATGTTTACACTTAATCTGAAAGTACAGTGTATATCTACACTGAATGTCAATGTATGTCTGCTTCGATTACGAATGCCTATCTAGGCTGAATCTGAACTTTTGTCTCTACTGAACTTGAATATTTGTCTGGATTGCATCTGAATGACTGTCTACACAATATCTGAATATGGATACATGATAATGATTTTTATCTTTGGTTTAGTGGACCCAGGAACCTTCAGAGAAAATGATATATTCTTATGTTCTATTTTAGGGTAAACTGACAGCCAGGGAAAGAATCAACTTGCTATGTGACCCAGGGACCTTCAGTGAAAATGATATGTTCTTATGTTCTATTTTAGGGTAAACTGACAGCCAGGGAAAGAATCAATTTGCTATGTGACCCAGGGACCTTCAGTGAAAATGATATGTTCTCATGTTCTATTTTAGGGTAAACTGACAGCCAGGGAAAGAATCAACTTGCTATGTGACCCAGGGACCTTCAGTGAAAATGATATGTTCTTATGTTCTATTTTAGGGTAAACTGACAGCCAGGGAAAGAATCAACTTGCTATGTGACCCAGGGACCTCCAGTGAAAATGATATGTTCTTATGTTCTATTTTAGGGTAAACTGACAGCCAGGGAAAGAATCAACTTGCTACATGTATGTGACCCAGGGACCTTCAGGGAAAATGATATGTTCTTATGTTCTATTTTAGGGTAAACTGACTGCCAGGGAAAGAATCAATTTGCTATGTGACCCAGGGACCTTCAGAGAAAATGATATGTTCTTATGTTCTATTTTAGGGTAAACTGACAGCCAGGGAAAGAATCAACTTGCTACATGTATGTGACCCAGGGACCTTCAGGGAAAATGATATGTTCTTACGTTCTATTTTAGGGTAAACTGACAGCCAGGGAAAGAATCAACTTGCTATGTGACCCAGGGACCTTCAGAGAATATGATATGTTCTTATGTTCTATTTAAGGGTAAACTGACAGCCAGGGAAAGAATCAACTTGCTATGTGACCCAGGGACCTTCAGAGAATATGATATGTTCTTATGTTCTATTTTAGGGTAAACTGACAGCCAGGGAAAGAATCAACTTGCTACATGTATGTGACCCAGGGACCTTCAGGGAAAATGATATGTTCTTATGTTCTATTTTAGGGTAAACTGACAGCCAGGGAAAGAATCAATTTGCTATGTGACCCAGGGACCTTCAGAGAAAATGATATGTTCTTATGTTCTATTTTAGGGTAAACTGACAGCCAGGGAAAGAATCAACTTGCTATGTGACCCAGGGACCTTCAGAGAATATGATATGTTCTTATGTTCTATTTTAGGGTAAACTGACAGCCAGGGAAAGAATCAACTTGCTATGTGACCCAGGGACCTTCAGAGAAAATGATATGTTCTTATGTTCTATTTTAGGGTAAACTGACAGCCAGGGAAAGAATCAACTTGCTATGTGACCCAGGGACCTTCAGAGAATATGATATGTTCATGTGTTGCATTTTAGGGTAAACTGACAGCCAGGGAAAGAATCAACTTGCTATGTGACCCAGGGACCTTCAGAGAATATGATATGTTCTTATGTTCTATTTTAGGGTAAACTGACAGCCAGGGAAAGAATCAACTTGCTATGTGACCCAGGGACCTTCAGAGAATATGATATGTTCATGTGTTGCATTTTAGGGTAAACTGACAGCCAGGGAAAGAATCAACTTGCTATGTGACCCAGGGACCTTCAGAGAATATGATATGTTCATGTGTTGCATTTTAGGGTAAACTGACAGCCAGGGAAAGAATCAACTTGCTATGTGACCCAGGGACCTTCAGTGAAAATGATATGTTCTTATGTTCTATTTTAGGGTAAACTGACAGCCAGGGAAAGAATCAACTTGCTATGTGACCCAGGGACCTTCAGAGAATATGATATGTTCATGGAACATGACTGCGCAGACTTTGACATGGAAAAGGAAAAGGTATGAGAGCTCTTAAAATGAGGAAATTAATTAAATGTATTGTCAATTTTTGTGCAGAATTGTTAAATTAATAAGAATTTAACAAAAATCATTGCATATTTGAATTATTTTGTTTCTTTGAAAGTCAAAGCACAAATGTTAGACTATGTACCTATGTAACAATTTTTTCCAGTATTCGGGAGACAGCGTTATTACAGGACATGGTCGAATTAATGGACGTCTTGCCTTTATGTTCAGTCAAGATTTTACTGTGTTTGGCGGCAGTCTGTCTGGAGTCCATGCCAAAAAGATATGTAAGGTATGAAATCAGGGGATATTTGAAAAAATTTGAAAGCCATTCTGTAAGCTTTGCATTCAAAGTATTTTGGTGTTCGAGTAAGTACAGTTTTAAGGTTGCATACATGTAAATTATCATGTTGCTTAACTATTAATTTTGAAAAAGAAGTTTTTTCGAAAAGCCTAATTTTGAGAGGCTTCGCAGATGTGTTATATTGGAAAAAGTTTTGAAATTAAGTTTTGGAATACAGATTACAGATATTCATTCAAACAAACCATTTTCTAGTATTTACCATTTATTTCGTAAGTATTATACATAATTTGTTTCTTGGGGATTAAGGTTGACTAAAATGATTTGTTTACTTAAGATTTGTTTACTGAAATATTTGTTAACTTAAGATTTGTGTACTGAAATATTTGTTTACTTAAGATTTGTGTACTGAAATATTTGTTTACTTAAGATTTGTGTACTGAAATATTTGTTTACTTAAGATTTGTGTACTGAAACATTTGTTTACTTAGGATTTGTTTACTAAAATGATTTGTTTACTTAGGATTTGTTTACTAAATTAATTTGTTTACTAGGTGATGGACCAGGCCATGTTGGTGGGTGCCCCAGTTATCGGACTGAATGACTCTGGGGGTGCCAGGATCCAGGAGGGGGTAGAATCTCTAGCAGGTTATGCTGACATATTTCAGGTAATTATTATAATTATAGAGGGACGTTTCGATTTGTTTTTGAACAAGAGAGGTTTCGAATAACTTTGCTGCGGTCATTGAGGATCAATATAAGAAGGATGGCTATATACAATCACAAATGCGTTGTACATTACAGTGTTGTATTATCATGAAATAAATAAAAAATAAAAATAAAAATAAAATCCATTTTTTGCTGAATCATTTAATTTTCATATTCCCCCATTGATGTCATATCATATAACATGAAAGGATGTACGGTTAATCATCTAACTCCAGTTGTATTGTTTATTCATGCTATCCTTATAAACTCAAATATTACTTATGTATTGTATTTTTATTTTAGAGAAATGTTATGTCGTCTGGTGTCATACCACAGATCTCTCTCATTATGGGCCCCTGTGCAGGTAAGTAACACTACAATTTCATAATTTTATGCTGACATCTGTTGTGTGCTCTGTTTGTATGTCATCGTCATTGTTTTCTCTGTTATATTGTATTGTATTTGGTTACTTCTTCGACAAGCAATATTTAGCTGGTATATTTACACTCGAAGATAGAGCGAGAATCTCTTTTTGTCCTGATACACAGACATACAAGTACAAATCTGACAGCTTTTTGTACAAGTGGTGGACCAAACCTCTCAGCCAAATATCTTAAATTACATGAAGCACAAATAATTTTTTTCTGAATTGGAAATCAAGGTCAAGGTCAAATGACACCTTGGCTCTGCCAATGAGCCACAATCATGTAGTCAACATTAATTTCTTCTACCATTTTACCATTTATCATAGCTGGTCTTTGAAAAGATGATTCTATTTTGATAAGGATAAATAGATGGCATGCCAAAGCATTGATAGGATGTTGATATTTTAACAGTTTTATATTGTACAGAACTAGCTCGATTGACGAATATGAATTAATAAAAACCAATGGTAATAGCTTAAACACAAATTGTCTATTGATACATATATTCTGGTATAGATTTCGATTCAGCCACCCTAACATATAATACAATACTAATTAAAAAGCAAGGGTAGAAGAGGAACAATATTTTCAAAAACTTTGTTCCACTGGCGATGGTTTAAGCTTGGAGTTGAATACAACATATAGATGTCACTGTAGTCAATCTTCCCATTTAAAGCGGTTACATGTAAATAATCATTTGTGAACGTACATGAATGCAATCATTGCATATGGTCATTATTGCATTATTAATAAAAGACAATCACAAGTGAGGTTAGTCATTGCAAGGGGTGAGGCAGGTGAGGCAATTGCCTCACTAAAATTCTGAAGTTAAATCTTAAGTGAGACATTTTGAAAATCAAAACTGTGAGAATGAAGGATTACAATTTTGTATTATATTGGCTTTGCTCAAATTTGGCTCACCTATTTAAATTTGCCTCACCAATTTAAACTTGCCTCATTTACTTAAATTTGCCTCACCTATTTAAATTTGCCTCACCAATTTAAACTTGCCTCATTTACTTAAATTTGCCTCACCTATTTAAAGGACGATTCTCGGTTTGGAGAACGAAGTTCTTCAATCTAAATGAGCATTATCCCTGTTTCGGACAAATTTGATTTTTTTTTTACATAATATAGATTTGAATGTCTTCTTTTGAATAGTCATAATTTAATTTGGGTAATATTTTTAGATTTTTCGCAAAAAAATATTAGCGAAGTACACTGATGAACTTCTTTCCCCAAAATCAAGACTTGTATTTTATTGAATCGGTCTAATTTAGCATTATCCCTGCTTCAGACCAATTTGTTATTTTTACATCTTGTAGATTTAAATGTCCTCTTTTGAATATTCATAGTTTAATTTTGGTAATATTTCTATATTTTTCATGAAAAATATTATTAGCCCAGGAGACTGTTCTCCAAACCAAGAATCGTCCCTTGCCTCACCTATTTCTAGATTATGGCTATACCACAGTCCCTATGCTATTACTTTTTACAGGGGCTTGTTATTTTGCAGTGATTCATATATCTTCATTATACTGGTAGCTTTCCTGTTTCCTCGTTTCCTTTCCACCCATCAATAAATCTTAACATCTAATAGAGTTTGAATGAGGAGTATGTCACGACTTGTTTTAATTGGAATCTGCTTAATAATTCAATAATTTTGTGGAACACCTTCAAAGTGGAACATTATTTTGAGGTGTCAAGGTTGGTCCACTTATGAATGTTTGACTATATCACTTTTTAGAAAAAAATTCAAAAAACAAGAACATGGCAGCATATTTTCACTGTTTATAGCCATTTGAAATACAAAGTTTATGATGTCAGTTATCTCCCCATGATTTTTTCTCAGGTGGGTGCAAAATTCTCATTTTCACAATTCAGACCAAAATTTGTTAAAATATATCAATTTTTCATGATTTTCTCATTTTCAAGTGGGTGCAAATGGATTTTCAGGCGGGTGCAAGCCTATTTTCAAAATCTCAGGTAGGTGCTGCGCCCACTTGCTTTAATGCTGGGGAGATCACTGGATGTAATATGGTAAATTTAAAATAGGTGTAGCCATGCATCATGCAGAGGCAAGGAATGCAATTACCTCACCAACATTTTACAAAAAATATTCAGGCAGAATATTTGTTAACTGAAACTTTGTAAATGAACTCCAAAGGTAGTACTTGACTTCCCTTAAAGCATAGAGTTGCCTTGCGTATTCATATTTACCTCACATATACTGTATGCAGTTTTTATGTCATGACCAGAAGTGGTGACATATTGTTATTGTATATTGTGGATGGTATTCGGCAGCCAATGGTTGACATTTGGTGGTTGGCCTTTGGTGGTCAGTGTTTAATATTTTGCGATCAGCATTTGTAACATCATCAAATGGCAGGTGGTAAAATTTTGCATCTTTATTAAATGAAGCCAGTAGGTGGGAAATGGTAAATTGAGTGTGAGATACAAGTGCACTGAACAGTTTAGATAGATGTATAGTCTAGCTACAAGCACCCCCCCCCCCTCACTACACACCTCTTGAGTGAGAAGATGCATACTCAAGTGGGGGAAGGGGGGGGGGGTCACAGGGTCCTGTAGCTAGACTAATAGACTGAGTATAGCAGGAGAAGGTGCATATTCAAGTGGGGGAAGGGGGGGGATCACAGGGGCCTGTAGCTAGACTAATAGACTGAGTATAGCAGGAATTCCAGTATCAATCATTCTGTTGAACCATTTCGCAGATCAATCAATGGTGATCACTGCACTGATTTCTGGCACGAAAAGCCTTTTGAATAAACTGAATGGCATTATCTTAGATAAAGATTTTTGTTTTGTGTGTGTTTTTGTCCCTTCTGAATAACATTTGAATTTTCAATTTTGAAGATGCTAGGAGTTATAACCTGTATTTACAATATGCAAGGCAAGCTACAAAATCTTGATGATCGTGGTTTTATCAGACTTTTTTTCTAATGAACTAATGAAATATCTAATTTTCATTCATTTGCTTTCAAAACATGCCCATTATAGCATTTTTGTCATGGTGTTAGTGGCAAATTATTTAGAGTCTTGGGAGATAATTAATAAAATGTGCCGTTTTTAATTCCCATAAAACATGCAAGTAGGTATACTAATCTAACCCATCATCATCACCCCTAAATATTCTTTTTTGGCATGCCTTTTCCCTACTTTTTTCTTTAAATTCTTTAAACTTGATAACATGTCTGTTTACTTTATTTCTCGCTAATTCCACCCATTTCCACCTTATTTATCATTTTAAAACATGACCGCTGTGTCCGTCATTACAAATATATCACCTGACCCTTCAATGAGAAATCAAATGAACATGAGAAGATCATCATGATGGTCACGTTTTGAAACACAAAATAGAGTGGAAAAGAGTGGAATAGCAAGAAATAAAGTAAACAGACATGTAGTTAACACTCTAAATTGTATAGAAATGCAAGAAAATCAGACTCTTCATTCAAATTTTAGAGAGAAAAAGTATGAAATAGACACGATGACTATCGAATATTTTCATCAAGGGTATAGTCATTTATAACCAGCTAATGTAACGAGACACAAGTGGCTAATTTCAGTTCTCGGAAATATTAATGGGTGATTTATTAGTTTGAAATAAAATTACCGCTCAGAGGGATGACACCATTCAAAAAAATTCATAAAATTGTCGATATTTTCTCTCAGATTTATTTTGAACTTTTTCATTTCTTTTTATACATTGTTAAAACTTTAAAGTAGATCAATCTTGTTACATTTTCTTTAAAAATGATGTTTTCCTTATGAAACTGATTCTAAGGGACTAAAAAGAAAGTGACATTTTGTGTGGGATGAGATAAATTGTTATTTTTATCATAAACTCTTGCGTCTGGAAGTTTTCACGAAAGACACGATTTTTCCTGATTTGATCAGAATTACATTTTCGAGTAATTGGACCATTTTCGTTTTACTGTTGATAAAATCAAAAATGTATTTATTTTCCAAATTGACAATCTTATATTGATTTTGATTGGAACATAGATCTCGGAAAATGAAATGATGTTCTTAACTTCTTCTTGACTGGTCAATTTTTGGAAAAATGTAAAAAATGAAAAGCTGAAATGAAAATGAATCTAAAAGCAAGAAAAGAAGCAAGACCCAATAAGTTATATATCTTTTGAAGGGCTGGACCCATACTTTATGTTTTTTGAAAAAATACGTGAATATGCAAATGAGATAGTGTCACCGTGACGTCATAAATAGATCTCGAAAAATGAAATGCTATCCTTAAGGAGGCAGTCTATGTTTCCGTGTAGATATAGTTAGTTGAAAGCCCATGCTAAGATTTATTGAAAATAACAACAAAATATATAATAATGTCTTGAAGAAAGAAATATATAATATTTATTTATTATTTATTTGACAGTCACAATATCACATTGTACAATGCCTCATAAAGTTGGATGTTTATTAGTGTTTGTCACTTAAATAGATAAGTAAACTAAATTACGATACAGGATCAGTATTCTTATCTAGTATAACCCAGATTGTTTTATGATTAAAATTAAAAAAAATTAAAAAAGGTTAAATATAGGTATAGGCATGCAGTACATGTAAGCTATGAAAAAGTATGTTTGTTTATTAAATGATCATAATTATGTTTCCCCATACAGTATATAATTTGTCAATTATACATGTAATAATAGCTAAATATCTTTATATGCGGCATACATATACTAAAAAGAAGTTCATGTGCATTGAAGCTTCAAATGACCATAATTATCTTTCACTGTATTCAATTTGGCGAGTATACATGTAATATATCGGCCATGATTATAATCTATAAAATAGATCATTATCTAAAGTTTTCCTGGTAGTCCCTTGGGGTAATAGGAATAATTTTCAATTAACATTTGGACCGACTGAAAATGAAGTCACAATCTCCATAATTGTTCTGTTGTCGGAATTGGCAGTTTTTGATTTCTCAATTTAAACACTTTCGTTTTACAAAAGTCATTTCTATTTCTGTACCTAAAGAGGTGCAGATCTGGAAATTGACAAAGATGGGGAAGGTACAAAAATTAATGACCATTTTTTCCAACAAGGCCCCAGTTCACTGAATTTACAATTCATGATATTTGGAATATGTTTTGGCAAAATATTGCCATTTCCTTTGTCGCAGAAACCTTTCTGCTTTGTATCAATTATTCAAGGTACAAAGAAACCATGTAGTTAAGAGATCATTTCCTTGTCAGAACTTTGACAAATAGATATTATAAATGACTTCTTTTGATTTGTAATTTTCAGTTGTAGTAAATGTAGCTTATATGGAGTATATATTTGGAGATCAAAAGCCATAACTGGAAAGCATTCATGTTCAGAAAATCACAATATCTGTCTTTGTTTCCACTTGGTCCGGTATGCAATGTATTAAAGTGGAATTCACAGTAATTCTGAGCCTACGCATATCTGAAGTTTTTAATAATCTGTAATTTTCACTCAATACACTTTCATAATCACACTCTTCAGGCCCGTAGCCAGGATTTGCCAAGGGGTTCACTTTTTGAAAAATTCCAGTTGGGTTCACTTGTGATAATTTTGGTCCAAAAATGGCCAAAATCACTTAAAAAGTGCTCAGAATGGTGAAAAACTGCATGATTTTGAAAGATTTTTTGGCCAGGGGGTTCACTCGAACCCATCGAGCCTCCCCCCCCCCTGGCTACTGGCTTGCTCTTTCTTCTCTGCCATATAATCAGAATGGTCCTGATTATCATCTGTGATATCATAGTATGCGGTATCATATGTAACACAATCTGTCTCTTTAACCCAAATCTGTAACATTTCCTTTTGTTTTAATATCAAGTTGAGAGTATACATCCTTCTGCTCAATTTTTGGTGCCTGAATATATCTCATTTTTCATCAGTTCAATTCCTTCAGGGATTTCACAATCATCCTCTTTCTGCTCAAGGCTGTAATCATCTACATCAGCAATTGTATGATATTGAGTAGTGTCAGCAGCATCAATTGTCCATTTAGATTCATCTGTTTCCTTCTTGGCAACACTTCTCTCTGGTTTTGGCACTTTTGTTTTATCATCAACTTGAGTATATAGATCATTAGCTTCATCCAGGGGTTTGCAATCATCCACTTTCTGCTCAACATTGTAATTATCCACATCGGCAATAGAATGATATTGAGCAGCACCAAGTGCCCATGTAGCTTCATCTGTTTCATTCTTTGCAACACTCCTCTCTGATTTTGGCACTTTCGTTTTAACATCAACTTGAGTATATAGATCATTCAGATCAGTCTTTGTGTGTAAGTTCGGAGTGTCTATTGCCATACTTTGATTTACATCATTCTTTTGAATTTGATCCTGATTTTCTGCTGTTGAGGGGTTTCTAGAGTTTTTTTGTTTGCGATATGATAAAATCAGCAAAATCAGTAAGATAATTATGACAAAGATGAGAAGAACCATTCCAATAATGATTCCGACATTAAGAGTAGTAGAGCACATAGCAGGAGGACAGACTGCATGACTCATGCAAGGATTTTTAGTAGTATTGATGACAGTTGAATCTGTAGCACTTGTATGTGTTGTAGCCTCTTTCTGATCTTGGTCACATGACTCTGTCTCACAGACATATGGTAACTTAGAGCAACATGACTCATACTTGATTGTCACAGTACCCGTAGGTGTGTTCATAATAGCAGGACATTTTCCACATGGGCAACTATTATTTGATACCAGTAGGTCAAACCTTATTTCAGGATAGATATTCCATTTCTGTGGGTACAGACGTATGAAGCGTGCATTGAATGGCTTTGTAAAGTTTCTATAGACTGGTGTATCATCATCCTCATTAGCTGTCAATTCCTCTTTCCTGCTATCTTGAAGTGTAAGAAAGTCATTATCATCATTTTTGTAATGGAGTTTGTAAACTGTTATCCACCGATTGTAATCCTTTCGTCCTTTTGTAACAATACCGTATACGCACATTGTTTCCCTGAGATTAACTTGGACCCACATACCAATTTTTAATTGAATTAAAGGATCAGGATACCATGCACTTTGACTGTCAATTCTAGCATATTTTGCAAAGTTACTATATGAAGATGCATCAAACTGTTCATCTTTAATATACTTCATTATGTAGAATGGTGCTCTCAAGTAAAGATTCCTCCATTGTATCTTTAACAGTCTGTTCATATTGAGCGTCATTCAATGTGAGGATTCTTCCATTCCTCCTGGTACATTCCATAGCAGCTTCAGACCATGTCAAGTTCTCAGAGTCAACAACTTGGATGTCCCTCACAAGGTTATATCCAACTGGACATAACAGGCCATCTGAATGTATGGAATAGGCCATTGTTACAAAGATCGCTCTAAATAAATGTTCCATCATGGACTTAATATAAACATTTCACTTTCTCCGACCTACTCTACCAATATATGCTTGAAGTCACAGGAATGTATGTCACTCACTTTTTCTTTTAACTGGTACTAATCACAATTTAACTTCCTTATGGAGCAAATTAGAAAACCGTTTTTCCTGGATTTCTTTTCATGTCTTTATCTTTGTTGTTCATATTTAAACTTCCTTGTTGAGCTATTTCCTCTGTTGCTGAAAGTGCATGCTGTTAGTGCTTAAAAGGCATAGAAAGATGTTCTTTATATCATGAATATGTGAGCGCAAGTGTCAATGGGAAATCACCAAAAATAGTTACAGAACACAGCATGAAAAAAAACATCTAAGAGTATACCAGTCATAATGAAATTAAACTTCAATAATAGTACCAAATCACGATCTAACATGAATAGAAACAGTGTCTAATTCCCCCTCCCTCAGTTTGGCATACACTATTTAGATGGTTGAGAGTAGTATTAAATGCAAAGGGACCTTAACTATATATCTTGACCTATTTCGGGGAACCAAGGAGTCTAGGGAATGTTTTTTAGAATTGCGATGTCATACTTCCCATGCAGCCATTTTTGTGAACAATATTGTAAAATGTTTTTGAATATTGGCAATAATATAATCTTTTTCTGCCCTTAAACATTTAGAATAACACCAATAGGTGGCCTGATTTACTATTTGTCTTTTGAATATGATTGTTGATAATATCTGTAAAAAAGGATTATTTACACTTTATACAGTGTACAGATATGAGTAAATTGATGGAAAAATAAAGAAAAATAAAGAATTGTACCTAGTGTTATAGGGGTATTATAAAAAAGTCTGCAATTTCGAAAGCTGTTTCTCAGGGTTTTGTGTCACATTTTTGCTTAGATACTTGAACAGAATTGTTTAAACTTTATGTTACAAATCTTTTGTAACATTTGGTTCTATCTGCTTTTGTAAATAGAAGATATATGTGAGTGCCTCATTTTTATTTGCCCACCTTGTACATGTATGTATACAGAGGTTATTTACTGGAAGGGATTGAGTAAAAGTTTTTATATAGAGGCCATAGATGATATTTCCCTCGGAATCAAAGGAGTGCATATATATAATATGTGATAAATAATCTATATATATTTCTGTTCAAAATTCGATGCTTCAATTAAAAAGAAAACTACTTTTTTTGTGCATTTCATATATTAAAGCTAGAATCCCAACCATATTTTGAATACAATGATGAATAGTTTCAGGTCATAATACCTGTTTAAAAGCACTGCATAAAATACAAGTTTTAAGAAATCTTTTTATTGGTTTAAACCAGGAAGTTTAAAAACAACTTGTATGAGAAAAGTTAAATTATTTGGTGACAATAAGGGAGACTTCAGCATACACCACTTAATAGTTAGTACTATAACAGAGTAATGTAAAATCATAATACATTCATGATGGAACACCTATTTAGAGCGATCTTAATAACAGTAGGTGCTCGCATATATGCAGAGGGACTGTTATGTCCAGTTGGATATAACCTTGTGAGGCACACTCTAGTTGTTGACTCTGAGAATCTGACATGGTCTGAGGCTGCTATCGAATGTACAAGAAAGAATGGACGAATCTTCACAGTGATGGACAATCAATCTGAGCAGATATTTATAGATATAATGGAGGAATATTCCCTTGGCAAGGCCTGGGTTGTATATACTGGTAATATTAAAGACGAATTGGATGAATCAGATTTGAAATCACCATTCTACATAATGAAGGATATATCAGATAAAAAGTTTGATGCATCTTCTCGTCCATGGGGGGCAAAATATGCCAAAATCAACAGTGAATCTGCATGGTTCTCTTTTGACTTAAGTGGTTGTCAATGGGTCCGGGTAGATCTAGGGAAACCAATGTGCATTTATGGTATTGTTACAAAAGGACGAAAATACTTAGATCGTTGGACATCAGTTTACAAACTCAATTACAAAAATGATGTTGATAAAAACTTCATCACACTTCAAGATGATGGGAAAGAGGAACTGACTGCTAATGAAGACAATGATACACCAGTTTATAGGAATTTTACAAAACCATTCAATGCACGATTCATACGTTTGTACCCAAAACTGTGGAATATCTATCCTGCAATAAGATTTGATCTCCTGGTATCAAATAACAGTTGCCCAAAAGAATTTCCATGTGGTAAATGTCCTGCTATTATTAACATACCTACAAGCAATGCGACAGTCCAATATGAGTCATGTTGCTCCAAGTTACCATACGTCTGTGAGACAAAATCATGTGTCCCAGATCAAAAAGAGTCTTCAGCAACCATTACTGATTCAACTATTGACAATGACTCTAGAAAACCTGAAATACAAAAAGAGTTTTCAACTCTTGCAACCATTAAAGATTCAGCTGTTGTTGACAACACCACAAACTATCGTAGTGCAAGTAATAGTGCATTCTCTTGTGTTTTGTGCTCTATGTCACTTACTATTGGACTCATAATTGGGATGGTTCTTCTCGTCATTATCATAATCATATTACTGATTTTGCTAATTTTATCACAGCGCAGAAAAAAGTATTCTCAAAATGCATCAAAATCTGCAGTTCCGGCTGCTCATAAAATTGACAAAAACAAGAATGAAATTAACCGAAGTGTGGCAAAAGTCTCACAAAATGTCACTTTGACTGATCCAAAAGATCTATACACCCAAATTGATATTAAAACAAAACATAAAAAATCAGAGATGATTTATGCCAATATGGGGGCATATAATGCTGCATATGACACTACAACAGATGACACCACTACAAATGACACTGCTACATATAACACCATTTCAGATGATGCGAAAGACACAACACTCTATCATACTCCAGAAGATATAGGTGTTTACAGTTTTGAGAAGCACACAGATGATAAAGACATCCCTGATGGAATTGAGATGTTTAATAATGAGTTATACTCGGATATTTAGCTCCATACAGTTTATAATTGGTACTCATTTGAATAAACTCTCTTGTGATCTATTGCAATTTCATAATATATAGTAAAAGCTATCTGAAATCTGAATGCTTAAGGTACTAGATGGGCAAAATTGTTTAGATGGGCATTGTTTATTATTTTGGAGAATTTAAACATTCTCCTCATTTTTGCACTTTGAAAGTTAAACAACTTCACTAATAACAGCAATGTAATAAAGAAATAATATATTCATGTAATTCATATTAGCTTAATGTTTAAAATGAATGCTTGGATTAATACAAATATTTCTCCTATTTTTGTTTGTTTTACATATGAGCTAGAATTCCTATGATGAATACTGTTTCAGGTCTAGTAAAGTCATAACAATTTTTAAAGTCCTGCATCTATTCAATGATTTGAACCAGGAATATTTCCTTAGGGACCAAAGGAGTGTATACATATAATAGTACAATAACGTCATTTCGAAGGGCAATATAGTGAAATGTTGGACCGAGGGCCGAAAGCCCAAGGTCCAATATTTCACTATATTGCCCGAAGAAATGACGTTATTAGTATTATTACCACCGTTAACGACCAGGACTGAAACAGCAAGAAATCTTACGCACTGAACGATATCTAATTTCCTGGGGAAAATTGCCGGTTGTTAAATGCATTCTCGACCAGTCGTTAAATGCATTCTAGACCACCACTATGATGTCAAATATTGCTCAGGTCGATATAGTAAAATGAATGCCTTCTAAACTAGCACTAAAATCCCTAGAACCATTGTAGATATAAGGTCATAATAACTTTTTAAAGCCATGCATATAAAGAATAAAATTTTTAAAAATCTATTCATTGGTTTGAACCAGGAAGTTTAAAAACAACTTGCAAAGAATATTTTAATTATGTTGCGACAGTTTGAATTTAGCATGCAACATTATGAGTAGTAGCGAAAATGTAAAATTGCAATACAGACATATTGTGTCAATGGCACAACTTTTAGAGTGATCTTATTGATAGTTGGCTGTTACATATATGCAGAGGGCCTGTTATGTCCATTTGGATACAAGGTAGTGAAAGACACACTAGTTGTTGACTCATAGAACTTGGAATAAGAAAATCCTAAAGCAACAAGATTGGAACACATGTTTAGAATTTTAATAATTGCGGGCCCTCTCATTAATACAGATGGCCTGTTATGTCCAGTTGGATATAACTTAGTGAGGGACATCCAAGTTGTGGACTCTGAGAACCTGACATGGTCTGAGGCTGCTATGGAGTGTACAAGAAGGAATGGAAGAATCCTCAAAGTGATGGACAATGAATCTGGACAGAATGCTAAAGATGCAATGGAAAAACACTTGGAAGGCAAGGCTTGGGTAGAATATAATGGTGAAGTTGAAGATATGTCAGATCCATTACAATTCAGAGAATCTTTCTACATCATGGAGCATATCTCTGATGAACAATTTGATGCATCTTCACAGAGTTGGGATGCAAAAAATGCTAGAATTAATAGTTCAACTGCATGGCGACCCCAGTATGCAGACCTCTGTCAAAGCTGGGTTGAGGTTGATCTTAGGAAAACAATGTGCATATATGGTATTGTAACAAAAGGACAAATGGATAAAAATCGATGGATAACAGTGTACAAACTGTTATCCAAAACTGATTTTGACAAAAACTTCCACATACTTAGTGATGGTGGAAAAGAGGAACTGACTGCTAATGATGATAATGATACATCAGTTTATAGGAACTTTACAAAACCGTTCAATGCACGATTCATACGTCTTTACCCACAAGAATGGATTGGCTATCCTGCAATAAGATTTGACCTACTGGTGTCAAATAATAGTTGCCCATGTAGAAAATGTCCTGCTATTATGAACACTCCTACAGGTACTGTGACAATTCAGTATGAGTCATGTTGCTCTAAGTTACCATACATCTGTGAGACAGAGTCATGTGACCAAGATAAAACCACAGACAATCCGAGTGCAAATCTTGGAATCTGCTCTTGTGCTTTGTGTTCAACTTCACTTACTATTGGACTCATAATTGGAATGGTTCTGTTCATGATTCTCTCAATTATCTTACTGATTTTGCTGATTTTATCACATCGCAAACAAAAGAATTCTCAAACCATATCAAAATCTACAAATCCACATGAAATTGACAAAAACAAGAATGAAGTGAACCAAAATGTGGCAAAAGTCTCACAAAATGTCAGTATGACTGATCCAAAACATCTTTACACCCAAGTTGATGTTAGAACAAAACGTAAAAAATCAGAGATGACATATGCCAATACAGTGGCATATAATGCTGCATATGACACTACAACAGATGACACCACGACAAAGGACACTGCTACATATAACACTACTGCAAATGACACTGCTACATATAACACTACTGCAAATGACACTGCTACATATAACACTACTGCAAATGACACTGCTACATATAACACTACTACAAATGACACTGCTACATATAACACCACTTCAGATGATGCGAAAGGCACAACCCTCGATCATACTCCAGTTGATGTCAATGTTGACAATGTTAAGAAGCACAAAGATGATCATGACATCCCCGATGGAATGGAGATGTTTGATAATGAGCTATATGCCGATGTTTAGCTCCATACAACTTATAACTTGATACTTTGGGACCTACAAGTACTCAGTTGAATAATACTCCAAACTTGTGATCCATAGCAATTTCATATACTCTTCAGTAAAAACTGTCTACTCTTAATGCCAACGTAACCAAACAAAAGATGCTTTAAATATCAGGCCATAAATCGTGACTTTAAATGACAGTCTTACCAGTAAAACGAAACAATTAATTAAAAGAGTGAGTAATTTCAAACATCCTGAATTAGATCATTTTATAATGAGAACATATAGATTTAAATTAATTGACAGCACCAGGAAGTTCAAATGTGACTACTTAATATAAATAGGATGATTACCATCCATTTCTGTGAGTGAAAGCAGCAGGCTTTAGTTGAGAAGCAAGGGGTACATTCAAGATGGAACATTTATTTAAAGTGATCTTTGTAACAATTTTCACTACCATATATACAGATGGCCTGTTATGTCCAGTTGAATATAACCTTGTGAGGGACACTCTGGTTGTAGACTCTGAGAACCTGACATGGTCTCAGGCTGCTATGGAGTGTACCAGGAGGAATGGACGAATCCTCACTGTGACGGACACTCAATCTGAACAGAATGTTAGTCTATTTGAGGAATATTTATATGGCAAGGCCTGGGTAGGATACACTGGTTATACTCAAGACAAATTAGATGATTCAGATTCAAAAACACCATTCTACATAATTAGGCATATCTCAGATAAACAGTTTGATGCATCTTCACATAGAGGGAGTGCAAAATATTCTAAAATTGACAGTTCATCCGCATGGTGGCCAGCTTCTTCAGATCAAGGTAAATGGATCCAGGTTGATCTAAGGAAAACAATGTGCGTATATGGTATTGCTACAAAGGGACAAAAGAGCACAAATGATTGGACAATAGTTTATAAACTGCATTACAAAACTGATTTTGACAATTACTTTCTCACACTTCAAGAGGATGGGAAAGAGGAACTGACTGCTAATGAGGATGATGATACAGCAGTCTATTGGAACTTTACAAAACCATTCAATGCAAGATTTATACGTCTGTACCTACAGCAGTGGAATGGCTATCCAGTAATAAGATTTGACCTGCTGGTATCAAATAATAGTTGCCCAATTGACTTCTCATGTGGTAAATGTTCTGCTATTGTGAACACACCAGGGGGCAATATGACAATCAAGCATGAGTCATGTTGCTCTAAATTGCCCTATATATGTGAGACTGAGACATGTGAACAAGACCAGAAAGACTCTTCCCCCCTTGCAACTGTTACATATTCAGCTATGGACAATGGCACTACAAATCCTGAAATACAGAAAGTTTCTTCAACTCTTCCATCTAATACAGACCCAACAATTGACAACAGCACAGACATTCCTGGTGCAAATAATAGAAACCTGCCTTGTGCTTGGTGCTCTACTTCACTTACTATTGGACTCATAATTGGAATGGTTCTGCTCATGATTCTCTCAATTATCTTTCTTATTTTGCTGATTGTTTCACAGCATTATAAAAACAGCTGTATATGTGCATTTACTTACCCATCAAAGGCAGGAACTGAACATCATATTGACACCAACAAGAAGGATTTTAACCAAACAGTTGAAGTGGTTACACCAAAAGTAACACAAAAAGCTGAGCTTTTTGATCTGTACTCTCAAGTTGATATGAAAACAAAACATCAAAAATCAGAGTTGGTTTCTATCAATAAGGAGATAGATGATACTACATATGATACTGCCTGTCATGATACTACAAATAATGCAACTGCCACTGCACAGTATCATACCCCTGTTGATGTTGATCTTCACAGTGTTGAGCAGAAAGTAGATGATTGCAAAACTATGGACATTAATGACCTATATACTCAAGTTGATATCAAAACAAAAGTGCCAAAATCAGAGAGAAGTGGTGCCAAGAAGGAAACAGGTGAAGCTACATGGACAGTTGGTGCTGTTGACACTACTCAATATCATACGAATGCTGATGTGTATAATTACAGCGTAGGGCAGAAAGTGGATGATTGTGAAATTCCAGATGGAATTGAAATGATGAAAAATGAGATATATTCAGAGGCTTAGCCATTGAGTGTAGCAAGGCAAGAGGCAGGCAAGGCAATTGCCCCACCAAAACTTTGCAGAAATATATTTTGAGATGTTTTTACAACTTAAACTTTAGAAATGAAGTCTAATGATAGTACAGGGTCATGGAAATGAAGTCTAAAGATAGTACAGGGTGACACAAAAATGCCACTCACTAATTTTGGAATAACTCGCGATAATTAAGGAATCTTCATGAATTTTTATGTGTTGATGGAGTGTACAAAGGAGAAAAGATGGGTATGCTTAGGATCACTGACTTGCAAATTTCATTTTTCACGGAGGCATGCTCTGACAGGAAAATATAAATTAGAAAATCTGTTTTCTTAAAATTTACCTAATAAGCGAGTCATTTCACCAAATTGGACAAAATTATCGAGGAAAAATGGGTAGATATGACATATTATTGATAAAAATTCATTTAACATTGAGTCAGTTGGTCCTTAGGGACTCTGAAAAGTGTTCTACTAACAAAGGTGTTCCACTTTTCAGTGTTCACCGTAGATGGCATTTTATGTGTCACCCTGTTCTTACTGCCTGGCCAGCTCCACCTTTGACTACACCCCTAGTAACTATATGTATATACTGTCTATTATCCAATTATGTCTTAAGTGGCGATTCTCTAATTATTCTATCAGTTAATTCAGAGAATATATGATGATTTACAGCTATTGAAATTATATGAACTTGGTTTATCATAATGCTTTTAAACAACTTATTGAACACTCTATCTACACAAAAACTGCTTATATTGTAATCAAGCTGCATTGGACATTAATATAAATATTAATATGAAATTCATTATAGTTTTGTGATATATCAGAAAGATTGAATCTGCATTGTTTTTGAATTATTAGCTACATTAATTGTATAAAATATAAATATATGACATTAAATAATTTGATTATGTTATTATCAGATCCAAATGACACTGCTGCATATAAAACCACAACATTTGACACCACTACAGATGATTCAAAAGACACAACCCTCAATCATACTCTAGCAGGTGTCAATATTGAGTTTTGAGAAGCACAAAGATGATCATGATATCCCTGAAGGAACTGAAATGTTTGACAATGAGTTATAATTGATCATTAGTTACAAACAACTTATAACTTGATACTATCGAATAAAATAAAATTGTGATCCATTTCATTTTTCTTAAATAGAGTAAAACCTGACTAATTTGAATGCCAGTTGGAGAGTAGGATCATAAGTGTTTGGATTGTCCATTCTCCAAACGCAGTGCTCCAGACATTATCAACCACTTTCCTTCCTTCTTGCAAGACCAAGTTGCTAGTTCTGGAAGCACGTTTGGAGGATGGCATTGATAGGATTTCACATTCTGAGGTTTTCACCCTGATATGGCACATCAAAAAATGGAGCCAAAAAATATGGATTTAAAAGTTTAACTGTTTTTATGTACAAGTAGTATTTAATCCAAGTGGTCAATTTGCTGAATGGTCAAATTTTATCATTTTCCTAATTCTTATTTTCCAAATGACAAGATATTTCCCATAACTTAACATTATAAAGCCATTTAATTTTTCGAACCTGTCAAAATATTAGACAATCAACAAATTAAATGATTAGGCAAAATTACCACTTATACAGTGATGAGTAATTTCAAACATCCTGAATTAGATCTTTTTTTATAAATGCTGAGATCTTATAGACATAAATTAATTGATGGTACCAGGAAGTATAAATGTGACTTCTTAAGATAGTGTAGATAATTAAGTGGCATTTCTTTGACTGAAAGAAAATAGATTTAGTGAGAAGCTTGGGATAAGAAAATCATAAAGCAGAAAGAATGGAAAATATGTTTAGAACGATTTTAATAATAGTGGGCTCTCCCATCTATACAGATGGCCTGATTTGTCCAGTTGGGTATAACCTAGTGAGGGACATCCAAGTTGTTGAGCCTGAGAACTTGACATGGTCTGAAGCTGCTATGGAGTGTATTAGGAAGAAAGGGAGAATCCTCACAGTGGTAGGCAATCAATCTGAACAGATTGCTAAAGATGCAATGGAGAAATCGCTAGGCAAGACCTGGGTAGGATATACTGGTTATTATATTAAAGATGAATTAGATGAATCTGATTTGAGAACACCATTCTACATTATGAAGTATATCAAAGATGAACAGTTTGATGCATCTTCATTTAGTGAGTATGCAGAACATGCTAGAATTGATAATCAATATGCATGGTGGCCAAAGGCTGCAAGACTTGGTCAATGGGTCCAGGTTGATCTAAGGAAAACAATGTGCATTCATGGCATTGTAACAAAGGGACATAAGAACACATATCAGTGGACAACAGTTTACAAACTCCATTACAGAAATAAGTGTAGCAAATTCCACATATTTGAAAATGATGGTAAAGAAGAACTGACTGCAAATAAGCCAACTGCTTATCAAAACTTTACAGAACCATTTAATGCACAGTTTATACGTCTTTATCCACAAAAATGGAACAAGGATTACCCTGCAATAAGATTCGACCTCCTAGTATCAAATGATAGTTGCCCAACTGACTTGCCATGTGGTAAATGTCCTGCTATTATGAACACACCTACAGGCAATGTTACAGTCCAGTATGAGCCATGTTGCTCCAAGCTACCATATATCTGTGAGATAGAATTATGTGACCAAGATCATAAAGAGGCTCCAACACAGGCAATTGTTACAGATTCACCTTTTGACTATGGCACTCCAAATCCTGAAATACAGAAAGAATCTTCAACCCTTCCAACTATTACAGAATTAGCTATTGACAATACTACAAACATTCCTGGTGCAAATCATGGAAACTGTCCTTGTGCTTTATGCTCTACTTCACTTACTATTGGACTGGCAATTGGAATGGGGTTTTTCATGATCGTCTCAGTTATCTTACTGATTTTGCTGATTCTTTCACAGCATTATAAAAACAGCTGTATATATGCATGCACTTACCCATCAAAGGCAGGAAATGAACATCATATTGACACCAACAAGAAGGATTTTAACCAAACAGTTGAAATGGTTACACCAAAAGTAACATCAAAAGCTGAGCTTGTTGATCTGTACTCTCAAGTTGATATTAAAACTAAACATCAAAAATCAGAATTGGTTTCTATCAATAAGGAGACAGATGACACTACATATGATACTGCCTGTCATGATACTACAAATAATGCAACTGCCTCTGCACAGTATCATACCCCTGTCGATGTTGATCTTTACAGTGTTGAGCAGAAAGTAGGTGAAGGCAAAACTATGGATATTAATGACCTATATACTCAAGTTGATATCAAAACAAAAGTGCCAAAATCAGATAGAAGTGGTGCCAAGAAGGAAACAGATCAAGCTACATGGACAGTTGATGCTGTTCAATATCATTCTATTGCCGATGTGGATAATTACAATGTTGAGCAGAAAGTGGATGATTGCAAACCCCTGGATGAAGCTAATGATCTATTTACTGCAGTTGATGATAAAACAAAAGTTCAAAAGTCAGAGAGAAGTGTTGCCAAGAAGAAAACAGATGAATCTACATGGAAAGTTGGTGCTGTGGACACTACTCGATATCATACTACTGCTGATGTCGATAATTACAGTGCAGGGCAGAAAGTGGATGATTGTGAAATTCCAGATGGAATTGAAATGATGGGAAATGAGATATACTCAGATGCTTAGCCATTGGGTGTAGCAATGCAAGAGGCAGGCAAGGCCCCACCACAGAAATCCCAAATTTCAGAAAATTGTATTTTTGAACATTTTTTGATGATTTCACTGAGAGCAATTGCCTCAAAGAAATTGTGATATATCTTAATGTCAAAGTTACTGATGCTATCGAAGTACAACAATATTTGTTTCATTGAACACTCTATCTACACAAAAAGCATGTAGTCCTTATTATTGAGGAAGTTAGTCCAAAATAAGTGGATGGCATTTTTGTATCACCCAGTACTTACGATACCTTCTTTAGCTCGCATGCTTGTCCTGTTTGACCTGGCCTTTAGATCTTAGTTACATTAGCTATATACTGTCTATCATCCAATTATGTCTTAAAGTGCAGATTCTCTAATTATTCTATCAAAAACAGAGAATATATAATGATTTACAGCTATTTTAAATGTATGAACTCATATATCAGAGTGTTTTAAAACCTTTTTTGCTCATATTTTAATCAAGCTGCGTTAAATGTATAAATATTAATAATGTATACTATAGTCTATGTATCATAATCTTGTAATATATCAGAAAGATTGAATTTGCACTATTTTTGACTCATAAGCTAATTAATTATATAAAATATAATAAATATATGACAATTTATAATATGATTTTGTTATTATCAGATCAATATGCATTATATTTAAATATTATTTGTTGAGCATAGTTGCAAATGGGTAAAGATAAAACAGTATAAAAAACAAAGTGACCTTACATATAAAGAAAAATACTCTTGTGCTCAAATTAGCTATGAAGTAAGAATCTTTAGATCAAAGGTTGTATGAAGAAGCAGAAATCTGACTAATCCAGTACGTAACTCTACCCTTTTAACATAACAGACGTACAGTAAAACCTGTATAAGACTGGAACTCCTTGGAACCTCAGAGTAATGTTCAACTCGGAGGGGGGGGGGGGGGGTTGTTGCACTTACAGAGGTTCATTTTACATAAATTTTAATTGGCAACTGGATTTGTTGACTATAGATGGTGCAAAAAACAGATCATGATTATTCAGTTAATTATTTTATATGTAATGATCTAGGATCGAAATTAAAGATATCGTCCTTTAAAAAGTTCATATTTGGTTAATTGGTAGCAAGAGGCAGACAGTTCTAAGAAGTTTATAGTGCATCTATAGAGAAATATCCACTTATCTGGGTCGTGACTAGGATGTATTATTCATTAAGATTCATCGATAATATTCTTGGAAAAAACTATAGTTTTCCTTGTTTTTGTTTTGTTTTAGAATTTTTTTGTTTAATCTCATAAGTATTTTGTGAATTAGTATTTCATTTATTGTCTACAATAATAGACCTTTCCATGAAAATTAAAAGCATTATATTATTAATTATTCTTTCTAAAACAGTATAGTGTAGATTCAAACATGCTAACATATTATCCGTTGCAATACAGAAAATATTGGTACGGAGGGTACAATCTCAGTAGCAATACAGAGGATCACACGATAAAAACGTTATCTAATGATTTGAAGTGCAATACATGTATTGCACTTCAAATCAGTAAATAACTTATATTGTAGATTGTTTAGCTATACCCATGTACATTGTATTTGTGGTAATGCAATAAATAAATACATTTTAAACCCTGCCACCTTATGGTACATCAAAGAATTAGATACGCTATCTTGACTGGATTGATTATGTTGTGATTATGTTAGTATACAGCCAATCTTCAACAGTACCGTACATCGCGATGTGCATCGATGTTTACTACTGAAAATTGCCGATGCATCGATGTACGATTATGGCACATTGCGACAACACTGATAGGTGGCACTCCTGGGTTTATTGGGATTTAACACCAATGTAAAATATTATGAGGCTTTGTTATAACAGCTTTGAAATCTTGTAAAAGTCTCGTTTGTAATGTGAAGAAATTTGAATATTTCAGCATTAAGTTCTCACATTTTTTCTGCATTATGACATATTTGATTTCGACCTTTTGCTTTTTAAATGAAATTTTATCACTCTGTGTCTTTTTGTAATATGTTAATGTCTAAATAAATGATTTGAAGAACAAAATATGACATATTTAACAATAAAATATGACATATTTTACAATAAAATATGACATATTTTATAATAAAAAATGACATATTTACAATAAAATATGACATATTTTACAAAAAAATATGACATATTTTACAATAAAAACATAAATGATTTGAAGAACAAAATGTGACATATTTAACAATAAAATATGACATATTTTACAATAAAAACATAAACTCACTGAATGTTTCTAATGTTTTACTTCCATTATAGGTGGCGCAGTGTACTCACCCGCATTGACAGATTTTACGTTCATGGTGCAGGACACATCTTATCTGTTCATCACTGGACCCGAGGTCGTCAAGGTAAGTGATAAATTCTACCATTATCTCCAAAAATTGCCCAAAAATAGCCCTATTATGCCATTTTTATGTCAACGACAATTAGTGTTGACATAGTATTACAGGTACCATTTTTGTGACCAGTGTTCAGAGTTTTGGCGTATGTGTCAGCATTTTGCATTTGTAACAATTGTTTTGGAAGCATTTGTTACACTTTTGGAAGCATTTTTACACTTTTGGAAGCATTGGAAGCACATATGCTTCCAGGAATGACATCTTGTCTTTGGCGGGCTTATATTTCTCTATATGAGTGTTATGTGCTGTATGTTGGTATATAATAAAGAACAGGGCACCTGTTTAAAGAGAAGTTTACTCTTCTAAGAATGGGTATCGATATGGCGAACTTTTTGAACACACGTTTCTCTTAAACCAGTCATCAAAAAATTCTGAAAATCTTACAAATTGTCAATTTAATGGCCATCTTTTCAATGGCAACAATATAATTTGAAATAGATATACATACTTTCATCTATATTGTTTTAAAAAACACACCAAACTCTTGTTTTGTTCTTGGTATCATGTTTCCAGAGTGAAATGAAACATCTTTCCGAACCTCATTGGAACAAAACGACATAAACACAACATGTTTAGGTCTCTCAATATTGCAATTGTACAAAGGAAATTTTGGTTGATTTTAAAAAAGTATCTTGTTAATGAAATAAAAGGTTTTTCTTGATTTTTATCTATTTTGGGGGGATTTTGTTTTAATTTTTTGAATACTTTTTTAAAATCAACCAAAAATTCCTTTGTATAACTTTAATATTGAGAGGTCTAAAAACATGTTGTATATGCTATTTTGTTCCAACAAGGTTCGGAAAGACATTTTATTTCATTCTCAAGAATTAGTAGAAAGGAGCAAAAACGATTGCACTAAAAAAACAAAAAATGTTAACAAAAACAGTTAAATAAAATATTTCTAAATAATTTTCGCATTAAATTGTTGTCAATCAGTCAACATTACAAAAAATACCATGTTTTTTTACAGAATGTTTTCAATGATTGGTTTTAGAGAAAAACATTGTTGAATTCAGTTCTCCATATCGATACATATCCTTTGAATATTTTAAAAACATTTTATTTGTATAAAAAAATCAAAAAATACCCTCGGGTCTACTTTTACTACATTGGTTTCATGATATGTTTTATTTTTGGTCAGTCTTCATGTCGATTGTTGTCTTCATGTCACTTGTTGTTTTCATGTCACTTGTTGTATCCAAATCACTTGTTGTTTTCATGTCACTTGTTGTTGCTATGTCACTTGTTGTTTTTATGTCATTTGATGTCCTTTAGAGAGACAATAGCTGACTTTAAAGTGTTAAGATAATGATCTACTCTACAATGTCATACTGACCCATCCTAGATTACCATGGTAACCTTTTGATTTACAAGTCTGTGGTAAGATGTAATGAGTATTAGAATGTAGTTTCTCCTGATTTGATAGGTAATCATGGGTTAATCAAGCCTTATGTCTCATATCTCATGTATGATAAGATCAACATCATCATTACCTGTAAAAATTTGAACGATGGTCATGATTTGAAATGCAAAATAGAGTGGAAAAGAGTGGAATTAGCAAGGAATAAAGTAAATAGGCATGTAGTCAACACTCTAAATTGTATAGAAATGCAAGAAAATCAGACACTTTATTCAAAATTTAAAGAGAAATGTATGGAATAAATAAAGCTGGAGAGAGAGTAAAAGGGACGTAATTTGCGATCAAAGAGTAATTGAAAATGTTTCAGAGTATTTGAATGTCATTATGCTCTTTATCCATGATTTAAAAGGGTTATTAACTCTTATGTGTGAGCTGTTGTATTTTAGATACAATTACTGTATATTATTATTGCATATTAAATTGTTCTATTAAATCTGTATAATAGTCATGGTAATCCTGGACCCGGAAATCTCGGAGCCTGGAAATAAAAATATACCCTTTGAGAAAAACAAATGAAAATACATTTTTGATGCAAGATCCTTTGACCTCAAAAGTAGCTTTTGTGGCCTTTAGGCGAAACAAGCTTGGAAAGATGCAAGTCTCATTAATGGTAAAGGTTACCAAAAATACCAAATTAAATTGTTCTATTAAATCTGTATAGTAGACACGCATGGTGATGCTAATTTTGTACCCTGAAACCCAGGGGCCTGGAAGTAAAACTCTCCTCTGAGAATGAATACTTCCCATTTCACCAATCGGCAAATTTAAAGGTTTTTGGTTTCAATTCTGCATTCGGCATAATTAATGTCCGGCATAACTTTTAGCTAAATACACTTCATGTATACAGTTCTGATGTTGATAAAATCTTCAAGACTTGATTAAAATAGATTCCACAGATTTTAATTGTTGGCATGAATGCCATCCAATTATCCTTCAAGATTGGACATCGTTCTCTCAACTCATTGAATAAACAATATGGAATGAATTGAAATACCCTTTTGACCAAGAACAGGCACCCATGAAAGGGGAGATAGATGACAGTACATTGATTTAGATTCTGGTAACCAATCAAATTCTTGTTTACTATGTATTATTTGATAAATCGTCATCCGGTTACACGATACTTAGCAGTTATGTCCCTATCATTGAATATATGCCTAAGGTCTGTCACCAATATAGCCCGAGCTTGCGAGGGTTATATTACGACAGACCGAAGGCATATATTCAATGATACGGACATAACTGTTGTATTACATACTTTTATATCATGGCTACGTTATATCAATGACGCCACGTGTCTGTGTGCGAGTGAAATTAGGAAGAAATGAAACATGACGTCCCGATGACGTCATAAGATTGTCATGGTAAAAGGTTTGGCGGCTATACAGGAATATATAGCCGACCTTCAGCTCCATTGACTTCAATACAAATGCTTCACTGGGTATGTAATACAATCATTTACTGATTACTACATCACGGATAAATGTTTCTAAATACATGTATTAGTTATTGAAAGAACTTCGAAGTCAGACTCCTCTCAAAGGGTATAGATCCTGGAAAAGACCATAATAAATGCTGGTAATGAGAAATTGTTATAATGTCAGGCATATTTAAAAGCACTTTGTAAATGCTAGCATGTCCTAATTATTTTCTGATTCATCTCCAATAATTTAATTTTGTCTTTCATTAGCAAAGCTTTTATACAATTAAAGCTATTTTTAAAACACCTCATCTAGGAAACTGTAACATAAATGAGTCTATCGAGGTCCATATATAGTAAGGGGGAGTTCCGTGGGTTAGAGCGCCCTCCTGGCCAAAAAGGTTTTCAAAATCATGCAGTTTTTCACCATTTTGAGCACTTTTCAAGTGATTTTGAGCCAAAATTATCAATGTTGACACCGTCTGGAGTTTTTCAAAAACTGAACCGCCCTCCTTGGCAAAAGCTGACAGCAGCGCTATCTATATTTTTAGTGCATTCTGATACTCTGATCACATCTTTCTTACCCTTTCACCTAAAAGCTAGTGTCAATTAGAAATCTCTGGATATAAGACAAATAAATATACAATTAAGATTCATTAAATTGTAATAAAGTCTGTGACAATGAACACTAATAAATGGATTTAATATTACCAGACTCACCCCGGGTGATCAATATCCTGTGTTCCGAATTTCGTTCCAGCAAGTCAGTGATCCGAGTTGTGTTTTACTGAATCCCGACAAATATGGCGGCTAATTTGACAACAGACGATGTTGATGTCGACAATTATTCAAAACTTTCTGACAGCATAAGGTAAGACTGAATATAGAGTGGCGCATTCGGTGCCTAAATATGTTTGCAACATTTTCTTAGTTGTTTATCCATATGCGTTGGGCATTACTGCTAATCGAAGCATAAGTAAACGTGACCTCATTTTCAACGCTCGCTGGAAAGTATGTCACCGAGCAGTTTTTGACCTTCTGTTAGTTAATGAGATAAACTGTTATCATGGTATAATTGCTGGGTAGACGTTCAAAGTATGTACCAACTCGTGCTTCCAGTGAATGTAAACCATTTCTATGCATAAGCGTCCTAGAAGGCATAATAAGATATATTCCATAGTACCGAATAGGAATCGCCAGTGTTCCGACGCACTTCATGGATAAATGCTTATAGACTATTGAATCATAATGAACAGAAGCAGTGTATACTCAAGTGTGATATCTTAATTTATCAAAAATAAGAATTGAATGCATTTGATAATATTGATACTTTGCCAACTTGACTGATTTTTTTCTAGTCTGAGTAATTAATAAATGAGTAGTGGATTTGATTAATTGAGGATTTCCCATGTTAAAATATGTGAAAATTGTCAAGAGGCCACACACATCAGAGGATGAGAGTACAATACAACATGTGTAAATTATGAGACTATGTTGCAACACCTTCAAAGAATGGTCATTTCACAATCCACATTGCACATACTGTAGCAGGCATTTTTATGATATATTTTAACATTGTCACAAAAACCAGGGATTGACAAAAAATACAGCATATCATATAGCAGGTATATGCCAGGTATTGTAATATATTTCAACGTTGTCACTGTTAGAGTAGGCATTACAAGTTACCCATAAAAATATAATAATATTGACAACAGGCTAAAAAGTCTTCACTAAGTAAGCCATAAATGTCACATAAAGGCGACGGTCACACCAGGCTTTCACGATAGCATTGCTAAGGTAATGGCAGGATCCATGCATAATTTATTAAATCAGGCCCGCAGATAGGAGGGGGGGGCCTGGTCAGAAATTCTCTCAAAAACTTGCAGTTTTTCACCATTCTGAGCACTTTTCACATGATTTTTTGCCAAAACAACAGATGCCAGCCAGATCATACTTATAGTAGAAGGCTAGGCTCAAATAAACCTCAAATTGAGGTATTATCATTGAGATACTGATACTATACATACGATCGTGCTATCAAAACTGTCAAAAGCCCCCCCCCCTTGGCTCCACCCTTGGTAAAACCGCTCCACAATGGTGAATCCT